GGGAGGGGGAAGGAACCTAAACTCTCCGGGAGCGGAGGGGGGAGGGGGAGAAGATGGGGGGTGCTTCCCTCTCTGCGTCCCAAACAAAGTGTCACAAAGAGCTCGGCCCGCGGCAGCAGCGGAGGCGGCTGTAACTCCGCTTTTGTTCTCCCGGCCGGGGTAGCTGAGCCCTGGCCTCCCTATCTCCCAACCCTGCCCCCAGTCATCCTCCTGGCTTATCTTCCCCGGGAGGTGTCTGGGGTGCTGCTGGAGGAACCTCTTGTGTGGGATCACAGGTCCTACCCTACTTGCCCACCTATTTCTGGGAGGCGGTTTTTCCCAGGGGCTCTCCTGCCACCCCCCTCCCCACCTCCCGGTCTGAGGACGACCCCTGTGGGTGCTAAGACTGACTTTTCTAGGGTCAGCTCCAGTTAAGGGGGTTAGGGCTGGCCACAGGCCTCCCTCCCCCAGTTCCATGTCTTCCAGAACTTTCAGGATCAGGGTCGAGTTAGGACATGCCTCTGGGTTAAGATTTACCGTGGTGGGGTGGCAGCAGGTGAGCAGGTGTGCCTTCCTCTCACCTCCTGCTGTCCATTAGGAGTCTGTGCCCTCCCACTCAGGCCTGTGAGGCTGGAGGGAAGGTGGGCGTGTGGCCTAGTGGGGTGGATCTGGAGGGGCGCTCTGAGAATCGAAGTTCAGAGGGCCATAGAAAGGAGACCATAAAAGTGAACGATTGACCTGCGTGATCACGGTGGTCTGAACTAGACCACCTAAGATGCCCCTTCCCCTTTAATCCATCTAGTGCAGTAGTAATCATAATTCTGAACGGACTTGGGAGGAGTAGAGTTCCTAAGAGAGGGGAAAACACCGTGTTGGAGGTGGCTAGAGACAGAGGTCTAGTTCCGACCAGACCCCACAGCTCCTGAGCCCTTGTCCCTTACATGTGACCCTAAGCACTTCGGAACCGCAGGCTTGAGGAACCATCTTGGTGTTCCTCCATTTGGCAGATGCTTCTGTGTTCCTGTCCTTGTTTCTCCGTCATTTTGCCAGCCGACCATTCCGCCCTCTTCTATTCCGTGAGGGGCGATGGCCCCTACCCCATTGCCCACTAGCTGTCCCAGCGTGTAAGAATAAGTGGTCCGTTGCTTTGGAAATAGTTCTGATTCCCACCCCTGGCCCCGCATCCCTATAGAATCCAAATAAGGGCAAGATAACCCCTGCTTCCCAGTGGGGGTGGAAAGTAGGTCAGCCTACTGTCCGGCCAAGTCCCGTGGATGGTGTTTAAGGCCCCACGGTAGAAACTCTGAGGATTGTACACGGAATGCATGCATGACCCGGGGTCCTGCCAGCTCATGGAGTCACAGTCCCTGTTAGGGCTCCCTCTTGAGAAATCCCAAATTCATGGGCTCAGGTGCTTAGGGTCAGCCCTGGGGTAGAGATGCTCAAGAGATCTGACTAGGCCGAGGAGGGTCCCTCAGTGAGTTTTGCTTTTAGGCCACCACCTGGGGAAACTTTTCCTGCT